CCGGTACCAGGAACCAAACTCACGACCTTGCACTTTGCCAGGCAGGTGCTTTTGCCGCTGAGCTAAATCCCCAGCCCCACAACTGTTTTTTTTGTTTGGTTTTCTGAGACAAGGTCTTGCTATGTAGTTCAGGCTGGGCTTGAACTATGTAGCCCAGACCTCAAACTTGCAGTGATCCTCTTGCCTCAGTCTCCTGAGTGCTGGGATTACAGGTGTGGCTGAGTGTGAGATCTTAACATCTTTTATATTATAAATGGACCCCTTCCAGAATGTTTTTCTTTTTCAGTGTGGGGGATCAAGGCCCGGGCCTTGTGTACCACCACAAGTGCACCATATCCCCAGACCCACAATGATGTTTTTAAACGCACACATAAAATACAACACGTGATTACAAAGAAAATCACTGTATTAAATATAGTTACTGACATCTGAACAAATTTGATACAAGTCTTTAAATAACAAAATGCATTAAATAATATAGCAGCCACTCAATAATGTAATTTCAAAATACAAACATAAAGTGTCTGGAGATTTCTGTGATGATTTTAATGGGCATAAAAACATCCACAAAATTAGCCAGATTTAGAAAGACAAAGATCTCATGTTTTCCCTAAGGTAGAATCTAGGGATGATAACAAAAAAAGGGACATGAAGATAGAGCACGCTAACTGGGGATTTAGCTCAGTGGCACAGCACCTGCCCGGCAAGTGCAATGTCGTGAGTTCGATTCCTGGTACTGGAAAAAACAAAACAAACAAACCAACCAACAAAAAAACAAAAAAGAGAGAGCACTGGATGAGAGGGTCGGGAAGAGGGTAACAGATGAAATCAAAGTATGTTACATGCATGGACAAAAATGCCACAAAGTGCAGTATTTTGCTTAGTACAGCTGATTATACCTATCTGATTTCCACTGGTGACTGAGTCACAGGCACTGCTGATACTAAGTTTTTGGTTTTGGTGTCTGCAGTTCTAGGGATTCAATCCAGGGTTCATAATGCCACAACGAAGCACTCTAGCACAGAGCACATCTTCAGCGCAGTCTGCGTGCACACCATGTATGAGTGTGTGCATCTGACAGTGGGGACTCAATGAATTCTCACTAAATTACTTACCTAAATTTATGACCTTCCTTCCTCAGCCTTGTGAGTAGCTGAGATTACAGGCATGTGTCACCACACCTGGATTTCTTATATTTTTTCTTATATTTTTTGTTGTAGGGAGTTGAGACAGGGTCTCCTTATATATATATATAATATTATATATATATATATATATATATTTTTTTTTTTTTTTTGCAGTACCAGGGATTGAACTCACAACCTTGCACTTGACAGGCAGACACTTATGCCACTGAGCTATATCCCCAGCCCCGCTCCTTGTATTTTAGGCTGGCTTAAACTCACTGTGTAGCCCAGGTTAGTCTTGAATGCAGTGATTCTCCTGCCTCAGCCTCCTGAATGCCAGGATTAGTGTGTGTCACCACTGCTGTCTAGATTTAGCATGTTTTTTTTTTTATTTTTGGAGATAGGGTCTCTATATAGTCCATGCTGGCCTTGAACTCTGTATAGCTCAGGCTGACTGAACTCACAATCCTCCCACAGGTGCTGGGATTACAGGGGTGCATCACTATGCTCAGCAAGCATTTTCTTCGTTGAAAATATAAGCAACAAATTGGGAACAGTGGTGCATGGCTGTAATTCCTGCTACTCTGGAGGCTGAGACAAGAAGATCACAAATGTTAGGGGCTGGGGATTTAGCTCAGCGGCAAAGCGCCTGCCTGGCAAGCGCAAGGTCGTGAGTTCGGTTCCGGTACCGGAGAAAAACCAAAAAAAAAAAAAAAAAAAAAAATCACAAATATGAGGCCAGCTTGGGCTACTTAATACTACCTTGTCCTTTTAATAGAAAGGCTGAGAGGATATAGCTCAGTGGTAGAGAGCTTGCCAAATTCAATCCCTAGTACTGAAAAAAAAAAAAAGAAAAGAAAAACCCACTAAGGAGAAAGCTGGGCAGGGCATGAAGCAACACATATTAACCTTGTTTGTTCTGGTGAACCATTTAGATCCCCACTTTCTGAGGGTGCCCTGCTGGAAGGTCAGCCTGTTTGTAATCGTGCCGGTTCTCGGGCCTTTGGTCGCCTTGATCATCTGCTACAACTGGCTACACCGAAGATTAGCAGGTGCAGTGTCCGGGTGGGGCCAGGCCGAGAGGGGCAGACAGAGGGCCGGTGGCCGGGGCCCTCCCTGCTCCAGGGCTCCCTCCTCCCCTCGGCCCCAGCCCTGCCCAGGCTCCCAGGGCCACTGAGAAGAACCCCTCGCTCGAGGGGGTCCTGCTCCAGGGGGCCCCCCACAGGGAGGTACGAGGGAGGCGGGAAGGCCCGCATCGCCCACTGATCACCTGTGTTTCTTTGTTTGCAGGGCAGTTTCTTGAGGAGCTAAGTAAGTTCTCTCTTACAAGCTAAGATGGAAAAGCCAAGGCAGATTGAAGCAATAGGGGTGGGGGCGCCGAGGGCTCCCAGTCCCAGCAGAAGGGCTGGAGAGTGCGGGAGAGGGGAGGACCCCTGCATCCGACACCCCCTGCGCACCGCAGAACCCAGTCGCCAGCCTCCTTCCCATCCACAGCCCCTGCCTGCGCGCCACCCCCAAGAGACCCGCCGGGGCAGGCAGAGGTGACCCCAGAGGGCTCGGCAGTCCGAGCTCCGCGGTTTGAAAGCCGAGACCACTGCCGGCTTCTTAAGCTCCTCTCTCCTTCTAGGGAACCCTTTCTGAGGCAGGCTGCGTCTCCAAGCGCCTGGTCCTGGGGTCCTCGCCCGTCGAGCTGCACTGGTCCTCTCTGCGAAGGACACTTAGGGCTCTGCACGTGCACGAACACCGGGAGCTCCACATGGGGCCGCCGTCCTGTCCGCCGCCTGCTTTCCCTTCCTCCCTCCGGTGCCCTGCTCCGGGCCCCTCCGCCCGAGGCAGGCGGGCGCTCTTCCCCCTCGGAGGACACTGGTCCTGGAGGGTGGCACCGGCCGCAGGGGCCCTGCTCGCGCACCCCAGCGCAGAACTGCGAACGCTGGCTGTTTCTCCGAGCCTACCCGGCTGGGCAGAGCTGAGGAGCAGCGGGCGGGCGGCCAAGCACAGGGACCCAAGTACCGGAGGAAGCGGAGAACTGCGGAGCTTGGCTGTGGCGAGCGCCAACCCACCCCTGCGGCGGGAGGGACCCCAGGGCACTAGCCGGGGCCCCATCGGCCCAGGGAGCCCAGGGAGCCCGGCCCGCACCCCGGCCTCACCCTCCCTCCCACCTTTGTGCTTATCGGGGCGTCCACTTTCACCCAAGTTACTACTTGACGGCCTGCCAGACACACAGCGGCGGCTAGGTGCTAATCAATAACAACGCGACTTTCCGAGTGCGCGCCTCGCCCTCTGCCTTGCTGTCGGCTCTCCTCCTACGCCCCGCCGGTCAGGCC